TATTTTTATGTCAAGAAGAAAAAATAGAAAATGTCAAAATATACCTAAAAGTAACTACAAGCATGTAAGCTAATAAAATTAGTTTGCACTTCATTCTTTTAAAGTCTCAGCTCTTCCTGTAAATAGTCAACTTCCTACAATTCCTAAAAGTTCAGTGAGAGTTGAAAGCACTTAGTAACTCGCAGGAAGCTGCTCAGCACTGTGCCACGGTGTTTACAGAGCAGAGTTTGAAAGTCTGGCTGGTATGACAGGTTTTTCAGAGAGAGACATCTTCAAACAAAGAAGATTCTCACGCATAAGTCTTCAGGGATTCACTGTAAGTCACATAGCTGTTAACACATTTAGGTTGATTGAATGTGAGAATGTTATATGTAGACATCAACTTTCAAGAGGGTTGTGATTTAGGGACCTGCAGGTGTTGCTTTTGTAAATTTCATAGAGTTCAGTGCCAAATGAGGACAAAGTGTGAAAAATTACAAGCAGATCAACTAAAGCATTTTTTTCAATAGAATGTACCGAAGAAAGCCTTGTCAACGTCTGTGACTTATCTTTCCACTTTTGTAAAACATGGTACAGGTGTAACTGTCTATTCTGACTTTTAGTCACAATATTTAGCTACCTGAAAGATAAAGTATAATGAGACACTATACATTTCTCCTTGTTCGGTTTTTCCCAGTTTTGGAACTGTGAGCCCTTGAAAGCAGATGACATACTCAATTATTATCAAGTAAATTTTTTATCTGTCGTTTGATCACTTGTGACAGCGGATGAAATATAAAAAGACTAAACTTGCACTACAGAATTAGCCTGCAAAATACACTGGCATGTATCCAACACACAAAATAGAAATTATCCCTCAGAAGTTTCTGAATAATATTTTTATGGTTTTCGGGTAAGATCAGCCAAAGTTCTGGTGACATCACATTTCCATAATATCGTTCAGAATGCTACATATCATATTCTGCTAAAAAAGGAATCTTACACTTCAGGAGTTCTGTTGCAACCTGGAGTACAAGGGAAAAAGCATAGTGTCTTAGTGTGTGTTAGTCTTAGCTTCAAATGTTTATAGATCAGATTTTCTCCTTTTGTAAATCAATATAATTCCATTGACTTCAATGGAGCTATGCCAAGTTAACACCAGCAGATGAATCCAGTCTTTTGTTTTGTGTCAAAACTCACATCTTCTAAAGGTTATTTTAGGCTCTACGCTGGGCAAACTGTTGTGACTGTGAAAGTGTTATTCAGGTTTCAGAAAAAGGATTTCTGCAGGATGGCGACAAAACAAAACAGCTTCTTCTACCTTGTCAATATAGCCCAGCTTTCTGTTTGAAGAGCTTTTTCCATAATTTGTAAAGTCAGAAGAAAGCACTGTGATAATTTACTTTGGCTTTCTATATATAGAGAGGTCATCATAATTTCTAGACCCAAGTCAGGAAAGCATCCTGCCTCAATTTAGACATTATTATTATTGACAGTTTTTCAGCATGTATATTACTTTCCCTTTTTATTTGCTTTCATGTTTTTAATCTCATTCTTAGTGTGAAAATGTTGAGCTTTAAACAGTCTATTCCTAGGATCTTGTTCCATACATAGTTACTTCTAGTCCTGAGCTGCTGTGCTCCTTAAAGCACCTTTTTGATATGCTTGTTGTAACACAGACTGAGCTCCAAAGATCTCCTCTCCAGAGAAGAAAGAGCATTATAGTCTCTAAGACAGTTCAGCGAGTGACATCTATCATGAAGCAATCACTGAAAACACAGACTAAAAGCCATGTGGATTTCTCACTTGTCCAAAACTACCAAACTACACTCTAATAATAACAAATGGTCACTTGTGTTTTGAGGTAGCTGGTGAGTTAGAAAAGAAAGCGTTCTTTATCCATCACCTCAGGTACCACTGTTACCAGGACATAAAAATTTCTTATCTTTCAGCGCTGAAATGACTCAGTTTGTTTTTGACTTCACTGGCAACAGAGAAATACCATAAAATGGAATTAATCTCACCCCACTTTAAATGTCTAAATCTGATCTACTTCTTATGTACTTTTCATAGTCAGAAAAAGATAAATAGGCACTTCCACGGCACCTCTGTCCCACACAAAGCTTGACAGATCATCTAGTCTGAGTGTTGGAGGTAACTGTGAGATCTCCACATTGAATCTTATGAGAGAAAGAAGACTCTGATGATGAGATTTAGGGGAAGTCTCACAGGAGATTGATATGAACAGAGAATAAGGAAACAAAAACCCAAAGTAAATCTGAAGAAAGTGTGGAACAAAAAAGAAATCAAAAGAAAGGCAAAGGAGTTATTGGAAGGCAAAGAGACCAGCAAAACCCAGGGGTGTAACTGCACAGAGGTGGAAAGTATTTGTGATGTGGTTCTGCCACTTGTTGGAGAAAAAGTCCAAAACTGCCAGAGACTGTGAAAATCACAAATCCAGAGTCTTGGCAAGCAACATCTATTTCTTATTGTCACAAAATACTTTGCCAGTTGGGAAGGATACAATCAGTAAGGTTTTGCCACTCTTAAGTTCCCAGAGAAGGAAACAATATTGAAGAGAAAGGGCCTTGTAAGTGTACATGTATATGAATCCATCCAATTATACTTTGCATTAGAACTTGTACCGAACACCAGAGTTTCTGCACTTCAGTTGCACTTTGTGTGTGATTTTTTTCTTGTTCTCTCCATACATGCATATACCTAAAACCACACGTATTTATTAAAAGACTAAGCTGCTACTGTCACAGAAGTAGGATACAACAAAAGGACAAAATACTGAATTTGGCAATAGCATTTCCCACACTTTTACAGTACTGCATAAAACAAATCTATAAATTCTGAGCAGCTTTATAGGGAGATTACTGCACACTGACAGTTCAACCTGAAAATATTTCTTTTTTCTACATTAGGAATAAATAATAAAGATTATAATCCTGGCAGCAGATTTTACACCTACATCCAAAGGACGTGTAGGTTTATTACCTACTATTACCTACTACCTAGAACAGTGCAATGTCTTAAAATGTGAGCCAAATCTACTGAGCTATACTGCAGACTTCACTGCTGCAATCAATACTCCGAAGAGCCCTGTTTCTCTTGGACAGGAGACATACATATATCCGATATTTGAGGAAGCCAGGTGAATAAATCAATAGCTAAACAAAAATGCACTTAATCATAGCTGTTTTGGGCAGATGCAGGTTGGAAAACCTATACGGCCCACGCATTGTCTTCTTAAAGCTCAGACAGGAAGCTCTGTTTCTTAAATGGCAACATCCTGTTGCTGGGCATCGCTAAAGCTGGAGTGATCACAGTAGAAGGTAATTCTGTGCCAGCTAGCCTTAGACAGATCTAGCGCTCAAACTTCTAAGCTCCAGTATAGTTTGTTGTTGGAATACTTTAGTATAAATATGTAACTTAATAACCACCCAATTATGTACTTTGTAAGTTTAACAGCTTTCCTGGAATATGTAGCAAAGATTCACACATTCACTTTAACCTTAAATTGACTTGGCTGCATTTTCTTACTTAGAGTCAGCCCAAGGAGGAATTTAATATACACCCATAATTTATCTTTTCTTAATGGTTTTAAGCGGTGACCATTATTGGATATTTCTCATGGCACTGCAAGTGATCATTAAGCATACATAATAGCCCTACTAAATGAGTAGATAACTCTAATGCCAAAATTTTCCCTGTTCAAAGGTACGTTTGTGCATGGAATCACTGCTATGCTTAAAGGTGCCCCTTTACTTGACATTACTTAATAAAGCCCTTTGAGATAACCACAGTGTGAGAGATGTTTTAGAAAAGCACAATTTTATTTCTTCTCTGCTTTAGCCCTAAGCGGTTCAGCATTATTTGAACATCAGCAACAGCACTTCTTTACGACTTCAAAGTCAGAACCCAACCTCAAATTGGCAGTGCACCTCGAGATTAAAACTGTGCCCGGCACTCTGAGAAATGGATGTTTCCAGCAGAAAGAAGAGCAACAGGAGGTAACAACAGGACAGTCTAAGACCACTCAATTACAAGGTTTATTAAGGTTACACTAAGGTGCCTGTCATGAACACTCTGACAGAAAACACTTTAAGAAAGGCACGAGGAAAAGGATGAAACCACTAAGCTTGGAAAGAGTTTTGTAGCTGTTATTAACCCGGAAGAAGAGCAAGATTCCTCCCAACCAACCTTTTCAGCAGAAAGCTAATTGTCAGACGCACTGCAACCACTGCAAGCCCAAGAAACGTCTCTTATTCTCAATATGTGTAATCCTGACAAGAAGAAAAGACAAATAGATGTCTGAGATCTATTTTCCACCAGTTACAGCTTCTGTCTTTTTAGGAAGGTGGTGAGAGGTCTTTTCTCCGCAGTAAGAAAGCAGAGGAGTCTCTCACTCACACTCTCTGTGGCAGTCAGCCTAAGCCACGGGAGCTGGGAAGCAGCTGCAGGTGTTTTGGGGTGTCGCCGGTGCAGAGACAGCAGCAGCTCAGGCTGAGTGTGACAGGGCTCCCCAGCACACCCAGTCCCGTCGCTCTGCCCACACAGCCCCTGCTCCCGGAGGACGTGCAGCCTGCCCTCCATTTTTATTTTCGGCTCATTATCGCAGAGTTTGACCAACTCAACAGGCGCTTCCGTCCAGCTGGTACGCG